CTAGACATATACAAAAAAAAACTAATAAAATGTCCAAAACATGCAGCTAAATTACTAAAACTTTAAAATGTAAATAGAATACAAAAAATCTAGTTAAAAAAATAAAAACTATATATACATAAAGTAAAAATGACAAAAAAAAACTCAATTACTAAAACTTTAATTAAAATTAAAATATAAAAATAAAATCTAATTTTAAACTTTATAAAAACTATACAGACATTTAAAAAAACTAATCAAAATGCACACAAATAAATTACTATAAATTTAAAATTAAATTAAAAACAGAATATAAAATTATAAAAATGAATAAAAAGCTATATAGACTAAAGCAAATACTAAAAATGACCAAACAAACAAACCTAAAGTAAAACTTTAACTCAAACTAAAATGCTGACGGAAAGTATAAAGTACTCACCCCTCGGATCACTCGGCCCATCCCGACCTTGAAGCTCAGCGGTTTGCTCTGCTTCTTCTTTTTTGCAGCTGAAATACAGAAGAGAATCACATAAAAGATCATTTATACCAACTACTACCATCAGATAACCAGAAAACCTGAGTGATGGATTAATATAGTAAACTAAATCTGAAACAATCAAAAAACATTTTTATTACTCGAAAAGTTAACAAAAAATACCTTAAACTTATTTTATTTCAGCAAGTTGCAATGCAACATTTCTCATTTTCATTTAGTTTAACGATGTACTAAAATAATGAAACTGAAAATGAATAAATACTCTACAGACAAATATAAAAAAATAAACTAATAAGAAAGACAAAAACAGCAAAATTACAAAAACTAATTTAAACTGAAACTGGAAAATATATTCACTTCAAAAAATGAATAAAAACTGTATAGACATGTAAATAAAATAATAAAAAAGTCTATTTATTTAGTGATTTATATATTTAATATTAAATATAATTTAAATTTTGATGTATTTTACATTTTTTAAAGGAGGTCCATTTTCCACAAGTTGATTTGTTTCTTTAGGGTCTTCATGAACTGTCTGTAACATACTTTGGTTAAAATTCCTCAATAGTCGTGTAAAACAACACCCTTTTCCCTGGTCAAAAACAGCTCTGTTAACAGTGAGCCGTTTCTGTGCATGTCTCTTTAAATGATAATGAGCTCTGCTGACCCCGCCCCTCTCTTCCGTGGCGATTTGCAAATAATCATAAGAAATATAAAGTGTGGGATTCACTTCTTCTGGAGGCGCAGCAGGATCACGAACAGAGTTTGAACTTTTTAGCAAAACCTGCCTTGAATCGTCCCTCGTTCAGAAAGCAGTCAACAGGCTGAGGGCGGAGCTATGCTAATATGGGACCATCTGTGGCGGCTGAGCAATATGATGTCATACTGCTCAGAAAATCAAAACGGCTTGATAATCGAGACTGTTTAGGTTTTTTGAGGATTTAAAAAAAAAGGAGTGAATGGATTTTTGTCATTGTAGGGTGCTTGTGTCCACACACTGCTGAGACACATTTATATGCAAACACAATGTAAACGTGAATTTTGCATCAGACGTCCCCTTCATATCATGAGTATTTCAGTTCATCTTGATGGTCTCAATTACTTGGTTAATATTTCTTCGGTTTTCCCATTAGTTTTCAAGATGATGATCTAATAAATAAATCTAATTAGAAAAATTAATAAAACTATATACACATTTAAAAAATAATTATAATAATAAAAATTACAAAAACACAACAAAATTACTAAAACTTTTAAATTAAAATGAAAACAAAAATGAGGAAATATAAAAATAAAATTTTATCAAAAAATTAAAACTATATAGACATAAAAAATTTTTTTTAAAAACAACGAAATAATTACTAAAACTAACTAAAATTAAAATGAAAATATAAAAATAAAATAAAATAAGACATTTAATATCATGTCACAGACATTAAAAAAAGCTAATAAAAACGGCAAAAACACAACTAAATTACTAAAAACTAAAATGAAAATAGAAAATAAAAAATGCATTAAACTAAAAACTATAGACAAAACAAAAACATTACTAATTAACAAAATATGAATAAAAACTGAAAAATGAATAAAGATTATTGATAAAGCCATCATCAGACTGCAGCAGTGGAATGTGTTGCATTTGTGTGTCATATGTGTGTTGAGGTTAGCATGTCATATGTGTGTTGAGATTAGCGTGTCATATGTGTGTTGAGGTTAGCGTGTGTGTTGAGGTTAGCATGTCATATGCGTGTTGAGATTAGCGCGTCATATGTGTGTTGAGATTACCGTGTCATATGCGTGTTGAGGTTAGCGTGTCATATGTGTGTTGAGGTTAGCGTGTGTGTTGAGGTTAGCATGTCATATGCGTGTTGAGATTAGAATGTCATATGCATGTTGAGGTTAGCGTGTGTGTTGAGGTTAGCGTGTCATATGTGTGTTGAGGTTAGCGTGTGTGTTGAGGTTAGCATGTTATTTGCTATTGACTGTTCAAATGCGGAGTTTTGCGCAGCGCAGAGTAACGCGTCGTGTGTGTGTGTGTGAGGGGAACCGGGTCACATCACAGGAGAGTGAACTGCCTGTCTGAAATCATAGCATGTCAGCTGTCTTAACCGTGGCTTGTGTACTGCATCATCACTGTGTCTGTCACGCGACTCTGTTGCCCTTTCGGGCTTGAACTGATGGTAAAACTAACCACATTATTAACTGTCTTGATATTTCCTTTGAAAGCTGAAGCTCGCGATTATGGTAAGGGGCGTTACATTTCCGACGCGTACTTGTGGTGCTCGGCCAATCACAATGCACTGGGTCAGCTGGCCAATGAGGTTAGCATGTCATATGTGTGTTGAGGTTAGCGTGTCATATGTGTGTTGAGGTTAGCATGTCATATGCGTGTTGAGATTAGAATGTCATATGCATGTTGAGGTTAGCGTGTGTGTTGAGGTTAGCGTGTCATATGTGTGTTGAGGTTAGCGTGTGTGTTAAAGGGGTCATATGATGCGATTTCAATTTTTCCTTTCTCTTTGGAGTGTTACAAGCTCTTGGTGC